GCTAACAAATTAATTTAAAAATTAAAAAATGTACCAAGTACAGGCGATAGCTTACCTATTGTAAATAAAAATCAAACAAATTTTATAATTTCAAAATAATTGGTTGATAATTCCGTAGACTATAAGGATAAATCCTTTTATTTAAATGTGAAGGTGGTTCAATTTAAATTCAGTTACTGAACAGTGATGGTATGAGTCAATAAAAGTCCGCGTTGCCAATTTGACTGAGTTACATTCATAGAGTAGAGATATCTCTCCTTTATGGTTACATTCTCCTAGCACTGTACTTTGTTTTGCTTCGGAAAGAAACATAGCTGTTAGCATACTCAGTGCAACTGAAAACAGAAGAACTTATGTAGACCAAGGCCCAAAGACGTGTGTAATGACATCTTATGTTCAACAATACCCGTGATTGTCTGTTCAAATTACGGGGAAATGCATACGCAATGTATAATTTTGTTAATAAATATTGACACTGATTTTTATTAACAAAATGAAGAATCAAAGCATTTGAGGCCTTAAAAGTAACCACGTATTCCAGTCACGCTAAACAACAAATTCTACAACATGAGTACAAGACATTATTCAATTGAATGAAAAACATTAAGGAATTTATTCTTTAACTACCAGATTCCCATAAAATACCACGTAATGTATGTGTTTCAAATTGATAATTAGTGGTCAAATTATTTACTGCTTTCTATGTGATTAACATAATGCTACTATGAAAACTTATCCGAAGAAAACATAATTGGGCTGATTAACTAGCTTTACGTACAATGTTATGCAAATATGGTTCTTTACTTTGGAACAGGAACATGAATGCACCTGACTATACTTCTGTAGCGCTAACGCGCGACTCAACGGTCGCTGTTGTTACTTCTCAGATGCACCGGTCTCTCTTCTGTACTGCACGTCGCTTGGTCGGGTCATACATGGCAACCAGTAGTGCTACGGATAGCTGAAGTTAACGCCGTCTTAAATTAACGTCCATGCCCATGAAGTCAACGCCGTATGGCCTTCGGAGGATTTTGTTGAACTAAACTGACTTGTTTGTGAAGTTGAATTTTTGAGAGTTAAGAATTTAAAAAGTAATTCGTGTTGTTTCTCGTTCCGAAGTTTTGAACTTTTCAAAGGAAAAAAAGTAGTCTCACATAAAGTAATAAAATCGCCTCAAGCAGAAATAAGTGTTGTTAAATTTAATATGGATTTAGCAGAAATAAATACAAAGCAGTATGTTTTGGATTTTGTATTAAAGAAAGTTGTAGGGTTACATTCTTGTGAAAAAATACAAAAACTTGAGTGAGAGTCTAGATGAAATCATGACAAAAAAGTTTATTGCTTTGAAAATGTTCAAAATAACTACAAAGTTTATGTGTTCTGACAGTTTTAATGAATGAATGTCAAAGTGTGAAGCAGTTTAATGTCAGAAGTTGAAAAATTAATTGATGAGCAAAATATTGTTACTCAACTATTACACAATGTCTCGGAAATCAACTGTCTGAGTAGATTTTGCGAAGTGAAGAAGATAGTTCAGAAAATTTTGTGAGATCAAGAATTTACTATTTGATGAAGTTCAACAAAGAATTACTTCAGCAAGGAAGGAGTAAGAAAAAATATTTTAAATTCTAGCACGTGTGGTGTTAATATTTTATTAGTAAGAAAAAAATACAAAGTATTGTATATGTAGTTTTGAAAATAATTGTTAGCCTGTGAAATAAAATATGTAGAAGCACCATCGCCCTGGTTCTATTTGCCCGTGTAGGTACAAATTATTTTCTAACATTAAAACCTTCTGAATGCATTTAAAAACTCGTTCTTCATTTTTATATTTTTTGTACTGATTTAGATCAGTCTGTAGACATTTTCATGGAAAGTTATGAAATAGTTGCTATTTCTCATGACATTATTAAGTTTCAATGCAACAGTACACCAATAGATAGAAATAATTATTTTCTTAAACATAGTGAAAACATAAATACAGTAACCAATTTCCTATATTTAGTTGTCATTCACTGTTTCGCTGTGTTTCTCGACGACCACCGTCCACCAGTGCGGAAATTGAAAAACGAGATTTTAAATGCATTCAGAAGGTTTTAATGTTAGCGAGCAGGAAAGGCTTGACCTGTGGATGAACGAATGCCGCCTACCAGGCAACCTCATAAAACCCTCAAGAGTTCCTGCCTCGGGGTTCCGAACAACCGTTGACCAAATGAAGATCCCTAAACACGTTGCGTACGGGTGTTGGTAGATGTAAATACAACTTGCAAAAATGGGGATTTTTGGCCCAAAATGACTCAGTGATGTGCTCCTGCGGTGCTGAACAGACGATGGAATATCTACTTTCCTGCCCGGGCTGCCCTAATAGTGTGGAGATGACCTGGCCCTAGGAAACCAGAGAGCCTTGACTTCTCGACTTACTTGCAAAACAGAATTTAGCTATTGTCGACTCGAAAGAAGTTGGCTAATAATAATAATGCAATAGTCAGGATGGGAAAATATGTAGTCAGTCATCAAGACGACCCTCTAATGAGTCAGGTCACGAAATCTAACCGAAAATGGGATACAGAGGTATTGTTAGAGTAGCAAGAAGCATTGAAAAGAAAACTATGCAAGACTCACAAAATAACAGACACTGAACTTCTATTGCAACTAAACATGGAGTGTAAGACACAAAAATTTTAAAAAATCGTGGAGACACAAACCACTCCATAGACAATATTTAAAAAGAATGGACAAGGTACAGATAAATAACGATCAATCATTTATGTGACCTAAAAGGGAGAGAATGAAGTCAGAGTTCTTATAGCTGCTCAAAATCAGGTGTTAAGCACACGACATTGTAATAAAGCAGTTCTCAAACCCCCAAGATGATAAATGTCGTATCTGCCAGGAACAAGACGAAACCACTGGTTATATCGTTTCAGCATGTCCAATTCTAGCAAAGACTGAATACTTGAAAAGACACGACAGGGTGTGTAGTTACATCCACTGGCAAATCTGTACCACTCTCAAAGTTCCAAACACATGCCTCAAGTAGTACGAACACTCAATAAAACCGGTGACATAATTTGGACTCTATAAAATATTGTACGATCTTAACCGATAATATTGGGGGAAATATGCACATTAAGCATGACGCATGCCATGCCATCTTCGGCCACTTCGAGAAACTTTATAAGATCTTCTATGTTCTGAGAGGGCTCTCGATGTGGGGAAACAAATGGCAAAAGGTTAATATGAAAAGTTCTGACCTCCTGTAACCCTGTATCGGTGGTTCCTGCAGTACGAAATTGTATAAAGGTAATTTGAAACAAGTTAAAAAATCTGTACTAAAATAAAAATAAAATACCTATACTCACTACTTTAAAAACATCTTTAAACAATTATAAGCCATCCAATGTGTCAGAGATGTAGCATCAGCGCATTCTTGATTCATACCTTTCTTTCCATTAATTTCATTTCGCTTATACACAATAAGTATATTACATTAAAATATAAATGAGTTAAGATCAATTTACAACTTTACAAATATTGTATATGTGAAGACTGGCAAAGTTTATCACTCTCAAGTAGAAACAGTTAACATTAAAAAATTAAGTGCAAAATAACCACACACGAGGGGGGGGGGTAATATACATTTTCAATAGTTGTGTCATTATCGTGTGCAGTAATATTCTACATAATTTAATTTTTGTATTTCTCGTTATACTTCTACTGAAAACCGTAGTTCTCTACTGTCGATTCACTTAATTGATATTTTGATATGAGTAAGCTACCACAGTTAAACTGCGTATATTCCAAAAAAAATTGTGAAATATTTGTAAAAAAAGCAATTTTTTTAGGTTATGAATCGCAACTTCGTTTTCTGATTATTGTTTTCTCAAAAGTAAAAACGATTATCAAGTACATTATTATGGTTTAAAATGAAATAAAGTATAAATTCAATTGTAATTGGAGTATCGAATTAATATTGTAGTATTATTACATTTGTTGTTCGTAACATAACATTGTAGTAAAAGAAGTAGACTGGAAAAGAGGAGCAATCAAATTGGAAGTCATTCGTCTAATATTCTTCTGCGTTTCATCTGAACGAGTTAAGATTTACCTCTCATTCTTCCGATTCCGTTGATCTTCCGGGGGTTGAACCGGAGAATTCTTCTGGTGTTTCGTGGATTTAAAGATATTTTCTTGCTGCTAATTTTATTACCCGGTAAATATAGTGAACATGATGCTGATGAGTTCCAAATTGTCGATTTTCGGAATCCATTAAAAACGCTTGTAGCGAGTGATTTTGTGTAGCGTAATTCGCAAACAATGGCCCTTGAAGACCCCCAGCGGCAACTAACGGCCCCGGTCGGTCACCGACTGCAACCAACAGCAAGCGAAGACAACCGACGACAACCGAATTCGACCGACGGCAACCGAATCGACAACTGATCAGCCTTCGCTCGGAGGCCTCAGCGGCATCCGTCGCAAGCGCCCTCCCGATGTTCCTCCCGGCGCTCGCCGTTTTCCGCGGAAGGCAGCGCTCTAGCGGGGAGGCCCGGCGCGTCGCCGGCGGCAGCGGGCGGCGCG